ACAATAAACAAGTGGTATACATATTCTACATAACCACCCCCTTCCATATGAACATCATAGGATAGAAATAGATCAAAGTAGGAGGAAACCCTACCTCTTGGAGCGTGAAGAGAAGTGTAGAGAACCTTAAGAACACCTCCCAAGTCCAAACCTTTGATTTTTCCAAAATCTCATCTTTGAAACTTCGGTGAAATTCATCATTCTTGGTATGTAGACGTAGGCCTCGTCGCAGTGATCAACTTTAATTCTTGGTTCGATGAATTCCGACCGACGGAACTCCTTAGATCGTAAGAAGAAAGGTAAACTTTTAGGCTTTCTCTCTTCTCTCCCTTTTCTCTCTTCATCGTTTGATTCAGCCGACCAAATGGGGTGAGAATATTTAATTTTTTTTCAGATATTTAGCCCCTATTTATACTTTTAATTGTGTGGTCCACATTACCCCGCACGTTTATTACTTCCAGGTTTGTTTTTAACCCAAAAACGACTTAATTAATTTTTAATTTCAGTTCAAATTAATTTTATTTGAACTTTTATCTAATTATCAGGAAATTTTATAAATTTTTTTTTTGGGAACATTTGTGAGGTTATTCGTCATCCAGTTGTCTCGTAAAATGTGTAAAATTCGACTATCTCAAAATTTGACAAAAATTGACATGGCAGCTCAATTTTGCGATATAATTCCAACGGTGAGGTCCGTTGCATCATCCGAGCTCTAGTAAAATACTATTTTTAAACCCGCATTATAGTGTTAAATTACCATTTTGTCTTTTTTCCGAAAAAATTTAAATTTACCCGAATTTTACAAATTTTTTCCCAAAAAATGACACCTTACCCCGAAACAGTTGTGTCTGACCCCCTAAAAGTGGTAACTTATTCCCAAAAAGTGGTACCTTACCCTCCTAAAGTGGTATCTTACCCCCAAACCGTTGGAGTTTATCTTCAAAAAGTGGTAACTTGCCCCCTAAAAGTGGTACCTTTACAATTTTAATCCTAAAATTAGTAATAACACTTTTATCCTTAAAATATGCATATTTTATTATTTGGATCCCTAAAATATATATTTTTTTAATTTGGGCCCTAAAGTATTTGATTTTGTATTAATTTGATGAATTGAGTGTTAATTGAATATTTTTGAATATTGATTTGATAAGTTGAATGTTAATTGGATGAATTTGAAAGTTAATGTGATGTCAATTTGTCGAATTGCATATTATTTGAATATTTTCAAGATAAAATTGAAAAAATTGATATTTTAAGTATAAATTGACAAAATAATAAAATATGCATATTTTGTAAAACTCGCAAATTTTTTTTTAAACATTTTCCAACAAAGGGAAAAATGGTAATTTTTCATTATAATACGGAATTGAAATATGCATTCTCTAGAGCTCGTATAACACAACAGATATCACCGTTAGATTCGTATCGCATAAACTAGTCACCCTGTCGAATTTCATCGAATTCTGAGATAATCAAATTTTTGTACGTGGTTCAAGGCGACTAGGTGGCGAATGACCTTTTAAAGGTCCCCAAAAATGAGTTTTATAAAATTTTCTTAGAATTGGATAAAATTTTAAATAAAATTAATTTGGACTTAAATCAGGATGAAATGAATCGTTTCGGGATGAAAAATGAACCTAGAAGTTAGAAATATGTGGTGCGATGTGGACCACACTTTGAGGCTAATTTTGGAACAATGTAGAAGAATCTAGAAGGTTCTAGAAGATTTTAGAATATTCTTGGATATTTCACATTCTAGAATATTCATCTAGAATATTACTAGGAGTCCTGAAGGCCTATAAATAGGGGACTTGGTTATGGAATTAGGAGAAAAACACATTGGTGACCTCCCAGAGAGAAGGCAAGAGAAGTTGGGGAAAAAGAGGAAGAAAACTGAGTTATCAAAATTTAAACAATGATTTTGAGGTACGGGGTGGTATCCAATATGCTCTTCTGAAACCTCTTTGCAAAGAGTATTTCTTTGATTATCCTATGATTTGTATTCCAACTTGTGCTATCGTTATTTTGAAATTTCGATTGAATGTCGTTGAATATTGTTGTCTCATTGATCATGTTATGCGGATATTGAGACGAGATCATGATAGCCAATAGCCGATGCATTACCAATCGGGAGACCCGTTGAATCGGTTGAAGTCGGATGATTGGTGAGGTGTCAGATCTGTGTTAAGATTCTGTATGATATGTGATATTGAAATATGATATTGTTATCTGTTGATTGAGATACTTTGTGATACTCAATTATTTAATATATTTAGGCTGATTTTAGAGAAAAGATCGGAACGAGATAATCAGAATATTAAAGACGAGGAGATCTCGATGTCATTGATGTTTTAATCACATTGAGAGATTTATGCATATTGACGGATTCATTTGTATTGGGAGATGATTTTGATAAATAAAATTTTATTGGGACAATTAGTGCTCTGTTATTTTTATTTGAGTGTTTTTATATCAATTAACGTCTCCTGAAAGAAGAAAAAAATCGGGGCGTTACATATTTTAGGGGTAAAATTATATTATCCCATTTAACAAAATCATGATCGGTTTAAGAAAATCAGGATCGCTCATAACTGATCCTGGTTTCTAAAATTGGTTAATACACTTTTACCCCTAAATTATAGATAGTTTATTGTTTCATATCTAAAGTATCAATTTTGTCAGTTTTATCTCTAAAGTATTTAATTAACAAATGAACATCACATTAACACATTCAATTCATCAAATTAAAATTAAAGTTCAACAAATTAATATGAAATTCATCAAATTAACATTAAATATCATCCAATTAACACAAAATTAACATTCAATTTATATTGAAATCCATCCAATTAACACTCAAAATACTAAAAAAAATATATTTTTTTCAAATCAACACCAAATTAATATGCAATTTTATCCAACTAATTATTCAATTCATCAAATTAATATCAAATCAACATTCAATTTCATATAATAAACACTTAATTTATCAAATTATCATTTAAATTCACTTAGTTAACATTAAGATTTATCACATTGACATTCAATTTCATCAAATTAATACATAATTCATCAAATTAACACCAAATTAATATTCATTTCATCCACTTTATATTCAAATTCATTCAATTAACACCCAATTAATCAAATTAATATCTACAATAATCCAGTAATAACACTTTTATTCAAAAAGTATGGAAGTTTTGTCAGTTTTATCCCTATAGTATCAATTTGGGCCATAAAGTATTCAATTTTTGTTTAGAGCATTGAATTTATCAAATCAACACTAAACTAACAAGCAACTTTATTTAATAATCATTTAATTCTTCAAATCAAAACAAAATTAACATTAAATTCAATAAATTAACATTCAATTTCATCTAATAAATATTCAATTTCAACTATTTAACATTAAATTTATCAAATTAACATTTAATTTCATCCAATTAATATTAAATTTATCAAATTAATATTTTATTTCATCGGATCCTGATTTTCAAAAATTGGTTAATACACTTTTATCCCTAAATTATGGATTTTTATTAGTTTCATATCTAAAGTACCAATTTTGTCAAATTTATCTCTAAAGTATTTAATTAACAGAAAATTAGCAAATTGATACCACTTTAACTTGTTAATTTGGTGTTAAATTGATGAATTAAATATTAATTTGATGAAAATGTATGTTACTTTGATGTTAATTTGATAAATTGAATCTTTATTGATTTGGAAAGTTAATTCAATGAATTGAGTGTTAATTGAATGAAATTGAAAGTTTGTTTGATTAATTTAATGTTAAACTAGCTGAATTTGAATGTAAATTTAATGAATTAAATGCTTATTAGAAAAAAAATTGAATGTTAAATAGATGCAATTGAATTTTAATTTGGTGTTAATTTGATTAATTGAATATGAATTTGATCAATTGAATGTTAATTTGATATTAATTTGATGATCTTTTTTGGTGATTTTTAGAGAGAGAAGCTCTGTCTTTTCTCTATAATTCCATTCTTATGCCTTCAACACTTCTTCATGACTCTATCCCTCCCAAACCCCCATATCCATTCCTTTCTTTTCCTTCTCTGCGTATTCCTATATCCAATAATCAAGTGGCTGCTTCAAAATCATTGGAAGCAGCTAAGATTTCTTCAGCGATCTCTGAGGTGCATGTCCTTAAAAATGGCCCTTCTTATGCATCTTTCTTCCAAAAACAACTTCATGGCTGTCCAAATCCGGATCCATAGTCTCTGGCCTCTAGGACCATTGTATCGAAGCCAACTAAAAGGGTGCTATTTCTCAATGGGGAAACAACAGTAGTTTGGACTAGAGAAGAAATGGATGAGGCCTTTAAGCTGCTAGAGCTTGTTGTCATTGGTAAGTGTTCATATGGCTACCCTTCGTTAAGTTATATTAGAGACTTTATAAAGTCTAAATGGTTTCTTAAAGGAGAATATTATGTTGGAAGTTTGGATCCTAGACATATACTATTAAAGCTCACACTTCATGAGGATCTTATAAAGTTTTTATTGAAAGAAATAGTCTACATAGATGGCCATTTATTTCATTTTTTCAAATGGTTTCTAGAGTTTGAGTTTGGAACTGAACCAATTATTATGCCCATGTGGGTATCCATTCCTTCATTACCATTACATTTGTTCCCTAGGGAGCATTTAGAAATCCTATTGAGCCCAATTGGAAATGTGTTGGCAATGGACGGTCCAATGCTAAATTTTTCAAGGCAAAGTGTAGCAAGGGTGTGTGTATTGGTAAATTTGTTAAAAGAAAATCCAGATTGAATCAAGCTTGATATGGGTGGATTGAAGGATTGATGGCAAAATATTATTTATGAGAAAGAAAGAAAATATTGTAAAGTTTGTTCCAAGCAAGGCCAAGTGGATAGTGAATGTAGAAAGAATAGGAAAACTGCGGATATAGTGAAAGAAAAAGGTATGAAGCAGGACAAACGAAAGGGGCAAATTGTCTAGGGAAATACACAAAAAATGAAAGAGGTTGTGAAGAAGGTTAAAGAAGCTGTTTTGAATCACAAGTATGACGCAAATCATGATATGCTCATGAACGACATTAACATGGATCCAAAAGGTGTTGAGAATCCAACAGTTGCTATGGAGATTGTAGGGACTGGACATAATAAGTATAAGGTGGCAAAGACCCAAGACAAGAAACAGAAGAGGGAGAGGTGGCTACTGAAGACTAGAAGATTCAAAGTGCATAAGAAAATTTATAAGAAGAAAAGGATTATGAAAGAGAAAGAGAAGATGGTGCTCTTTAAGAAATTGAGGTACTTAAATGGAAATGGGAATGGAGAAGTGCAAGTTAGGCCTTCTAGCTAAGAAAACCATATGCACTTGCAATCTCAAGATTCAACAGCCCATCAGTTGGTAAAAAATGGTGAGAATGCGACACAAACATTATTGAACTCAGAAGGTGGTGATCCTATGGAGGTTATTCCATTTAAGCCTCTTAAGAGTTCTTTGATTTTCGATTCTGGTATGGTAGCGCCCATCAAGAATACAAGAACAATTTCTTTTAAATTGCTTAATCTGAATCATGAGGATGGTGAGATTTTTTCCAGTTCAAATGAATATTTTGATTATGGTTTTGAAGTCTATTTGGTAGAAGCTCCCACTGATTATGATCCATGTGTTCTAAATAAGCAAAATCATGATTCATGGTACAAACCAATACTTGTTACCCAGCAAAAGGTGGATGCAGTTCATCATCGTGTCGACAGTCAAGAAGGGTTCATTCCAACAATGTCCACTGATGAGATTCATCAAGCATTAAAAGCAAAAGACATTTTCTCTAAAGATGATTATGTCAAAGAGCCTTTTGTTCATAAAAATACAAGTGGCTTTACTCAGATGGAGAGGAGGATGTTGCACCTATATTAGATCATGGCTTTTTTTTGGCTGCATCCAAAGAATTGCTGAGAAGACTCACAAATGCTGAGAAGAAAAAGAAACAGAAAGAGGAGGAGCTAGTTGTCTTAACATTGCCATTGAATAATGTTCCAGCTAGAAAAGATTCGTCAAGAATAACTAGATCCAAATCTAAATCCATGTTAGCATTCAAAATTCCAAAACTGAATAATAGATATGGATTCAGGCATTAAGGGAGCTAATTTTTAGGGATTTCATGGAGGTCTTTCAGACATCAAGGGAGCTGATTTTTCGGGATTTCATGGATACCATTCAATCAGTCTTTACCAGTTTAAAGGAGAATTTTAAGGGAGGATTTTCAGCAAAATGGGAGCTGCACATGATCTGTCCAACATTGGAAAGGTCACCAAATCTGCACATGCACATGATGCTGTCCACCAAATCTGGCATTTTTAATGTGAGATCACATGCGGATGATTGCATGTGAAACGTTGGGAAGATCATTTAGGGAAACTACAAGGATTTGCATGGAAATCTTTATGCATTACATGCAATTGCATTTAAATGTAATTGCATTTAAAAAAAACTTTTAAATTTCTTTTACTATGTAAGGGGTAAGGTTTATGTCCTCCCCTATCTTCTTTATAATTTTGTGAAAATTGAGGGTGAGTCCCCCTAGACGGATTTATAATGACTAGAGTCATAGAAGGAAACTTATTTGGGAGTAAGTCTATGTTTAAACTTATATGTAGATACTTAAGTCTATTTATTTTTTAAATCTCAAAATTACCCCTAACGGTGTTAATTTTGTCCAGTTATGAAAAATCACATAGGTTAGATCATTGAGGTATATATGGAAACCCTTGATTGAGTTATATATGAAAATCATTTATTAAATATTATGATAATTAACTGAAGTTTTATATGAAAGTTATATATTCTGATAGTTATATATGAGAAGTTTAGTGTACGAATAAATTGTTGGTCTATTAAGTCAAAATCCGATCACAAAATTTCCTTACCAATAGTAATGTATAATATATGGAGGTTCAACAATGCCAACAGAATTCAGTAACATAAATGTTAATATATAGTAACATTCCTGTTACTATATGATTGAAGTTACAATTAGGATCGTGTTACTAGTACAGTCGTGTTACTATAGTGACACTAATATTACTATAGTGAATTTTAATATACAATTACAAACCTTGAGAAGTATATTATATAACATACACCTTAATATTCACAGTAACATCAAAGCTTTGTGCTCAGTAACACATTTAATTTTACAAATACAAGAAAATAGTTTTTTTATAGTAATATCAACTTTCGAATATTTTAGTAAAAATACGATCCACAAATTAAAATTTTATAAAATTACGAGCAGTAACACACAATCGACAGTTGAATTACGACATTCAACACTAATTGTGAACATCAAGACATCAAATTTTGAACTCCATTTTTCAGTTTACGTACAGTAACATGAAATTTTTTCACAGTAACACAACTAAGAAAAATTCAATTATCTTGAGCAAAAAAAAAAATCAACAAAATCGAAATCTATAATACTTTAATTTAGTACTAATGTATGAATTCTCTTGAATCTTGGTTATAAGGTTAATGTCCACTTTGACATAATTAAATCCCTAATTGTTATTACTATTTTACCATGTTACTATTTTTTTCTGAGCATGTTACTATTTTTTTAGTGACTATGTTACTGTTTTTGTTGAATGTGTTATTATTGTTATTTTTAAATGTTAATGTTTAATATTAATATTTTTTTGATGGAATCTAAAGTAAACTAGAATAGTAAATTGAAATTGTATTTTATAGAATGTAATGAGTTTGAAATTTGAATATGAACGGTTTTTGATAATGCCGGTTTCTTATTTTTTGGATAAGAAAATATTGTGACTTGGAAGATTGTAGTTGGATTTGAAGGCAATTATGAAGGAGATGTATATGACTGGTTATTGTGTCCATAAATGTCATTTATAACATTTCTACAAGAAATGGTTACAATAGTAAAATTGACAAAAAACGGACTTAAAACCAAATAAGTTTCCTTGAGGGACTTATATCCAAATAAGTCGATATAGGAGGATTGACCTCCAAATTTTTCTATAATTTTTTATCAATAAATTTTGCCTACATAAGTTTTAAAAAAAAATATTAATTTGATAAATTAAATTTTATTTGGATAAAATTGCATGCTACTTTGATATTGATTTGATAAATTGAATATTTATTAAATAATTTTGGATGTTAATTTGATTAATTGAGTGTTAGTTGGATAAATTTGAATATAAATTAGGTGAATTGAATGTTAATTCGACATTAATTTGATTAATTTAATGTTAATTAGTTGAATTTGAATGTTAAGTTAATGAATTAAATGTTTGTTAGATAAAATTGAATGTTAATTGGATGAAATTGAATGTTAATTTGATAAATTAAATTTTAATTGGATGAAATTGCATGTTGCTTCGGTGTTGATTTGATAAATTGAATATTTATTAAATAATTTTGGATGTTAATTTTATTAATTGAGTGTTGATTGGATAAATTTGAATATAAATTAGATGAATTGAATGTCAATTTGACATTAATTTGATTAATTTAATCTTAACTAGTTGAATTTAAATGTTAATTTAATGAATTAAATGTTTTTAGATAAAATTGAATGTTAATTGGATGAAAATTGAATATTAATTTTGTGTTAAATTGATGGATTGAATATCAATTCGATGAAATTATATGTTTCTTTCGTGTTAATTTGATAAATTGAATGTTTATTGTTTGATTTGGAAAGTTAATTCAATGAATTGAGTGTTAATTGAATGAAATTGAATATTTATTTGATTAATTTAATGTTAACTAATTGAATTTGAATGTTAATTTAGTGAATTAAATACTTATTATAAAAAAATTGAATGTTAATTTGATAAAATTACATGTTACTTTGGTGTTGATTTTAGTAATTAAATATTTATTAAATAATTTTTAATGTTAATTTGATCAATTTGAGTGTTAATTGGATGAATTTAAATATAAATTAGATGAATTGAATGTCAATTTAGTGTTAATTTGATTAATTTAACGTTAACTAGTTGAATTTGAATGTTAATTAATGAATTAAATGCTCATTAGATAAAACTGAATGTTAATTTGGTGTTAAATTGATTAATTTAATATTATTCAAATGGAATTGTTTATTACTTTGGTGTTAATTTGATAAATTGAATCTTTATTGTTTTATTTGAAAAGTTAATTCAATGAATTGAGTGTTAATGAAATGAAATTGAAAGTTTGTTTGATTAATTTAATGAATTAAATACTTATTAGAAAAAATTGAACGTTAATTAGAAGAAATTGAATGTTAATTTGATTAATTAAATATTAATTTGATGAATGAAATTTTAATTGGGTGAAATTACATGTTAATTTGGTGTTGATTTGATAATATGAATATTTTTTTAAATAGTTTAGGATGTTAATTTGATTAATACAGTGTTAAATGAAAGAATTTGAATATAAATTAGATGAATCCAATGTTAATTCGACCTTAATTTGATTAACTTAATGTTAACTTATTCAATATGATTGTTAATTTATTGATTTGAATGCTTATTAGATAAAATTAAATGTTAATTCAGTGTTAATTTGATGAATTGAATATTAATCAGAGGAAATTGTATGTTACTTTGGTGTTAATTTGATAAATTGAACTTTTATTGTTTGATTTAGAAAGTTAATTCAATGAATTGAGTATTAAATTAATGAAATTAAAAATTAATTTGATTAATTTAATGTAACTACTTGAATTGGAATGTTAATTTAACAAATTGAGTATTTAATCGATGAAATTAAATATTAATTTGATGAATTAAATATTAATTTGATAAAATTACATGTTACTTTAGTATTGATTTGATCAATTCAATATTTCAGATGTTAATTTGTTGAATTGAGTTTGAATTGGATGGATATAAATATTAATTTGATGAGTTGAATGCTTATTATTAGATAGAAGTGGATGTTAATTTGATAAATTAAATATTAATTTAGTGTTAATTTGATAAATTAAATATAAATTGGATGAAATTAAATGTTAGTTTAGTATTGATTTGATAAATTGAGTTTTTATTGGATGTTAATTGGATTATTTTGGATATAAATTGGATGAATTTTATATTAATTAAGTTGAATGTGATTATGTAATATTAATTTGTTAATTACATGTTAATTAAATACTTTAGAGGAAAAATTGACAAAATTCATACTTTATGGCCCAATTAATAAAACGTCCATACTTTCGGCATAAGACTGTTATTAACCTATTGCTAAATATAATAACAAACAAGGATCAGTCAAGACAAAGATCTTGATTTCTTAATTGGTTAATAACACTTTTATCCCTTAAAGATGGACATTTTGTTAGA